CATCCTATCTGTTTTGATCAGTGTCGTGAATGCCACCACAAAGACTTTGCAAAATCAAATCGGAAGATTGACACTTAGGAGTTCTGGTACGTGTTGGCACAGGAAGAGAGGGAGGGACACAGTTCTTAAGTGGTCCTACAATGAGAGGACACTAAGCTCTAGCCACAGTCAATGGTAGACAGAGGCTGTGACCTTCTGCACTACCCAGAAGGTGGCCCAGCTCTGCACTCCTCTCCCCTGCTTCTTGCCCAGGGTAGCCATTGACACTGAGTGGGATGGCTAAGGTCTTCTTGTCTGCTTCCCTTCCATCTGATTGGCCATGGACTAGATTAACCGTTCTGAGACCTCATTTAATGAAGCAAATTAATTTGGAAAACAGCTCTCCTGTCTCCCTGGTCACACTGGTGGGCATCTGCAATGGACCGCTAATGTCTCCATTAGCTGCCTTACGGTAATTGCTAAGAGCTGGGCTTTGGAGCTGCAGGGTCTACTGAGACTCCTAACAGCCTGGCCAGGGGACCGTCAGAGCCAGCGTGTTCTGACTGCTCCCTCCTATTTAGCTCTGTGGGGGTACTGAGTCCCGCCTGTCTGTCTCACTTCTGGGAGGGGTGGGGATCCCTGGCCCCAGTGCCTACCTAGCTGTGTAATTCACACTCCTGTGGTCCCTTGCTGTCCCATCTCCCTTCCGAATCCTCCTCCAGTCTCACCAGTGGTTCAATCACTACCTCTTCCAGGAAGCCTTCCAGAACCACCCCCCCACCATGGCTCCTTTCCTGAGCCACCTCTGTATTAGCACGAGACGCTCCACGGGCAAACACCACATTCTGGCTGGTTGTGGAACAAGTGTGCCATTGTACAGGTTCCACCTCTGGTCCTTGAGGGCAGGGACCACACCTTGTACTCTGATGCTCTTGGGAACACTGCACCTAACACCGAGGACAGCCCCATCAATCCAAGTTGGTGAGTTCAGTAGCGGTTCACTGTGGGGCTGGCTGTGATGGCGCCACGGCCCCTTCAGGAAGAACGTATGCCTGCCCTGCGACCCTCTACAGAGACCGCCCTGGGTGAAGACAGCTGCTCAGCCTGAGGTCACACCTCCTTTTCCCCTGGCAGTCCCCAGCTGATGACCAAGGGACACAAGGTGTAAAGGTGTGCTCTGTCACTTCATCTTGGGCCAACTCCCAGGAGGTCCTCAATGCAGGTCAACTTCTGCCCAATCCTGCACCCCTCCCCTCCCCCTTTCTTCTCCACAGATGGATTCCAGGGCGTTCCTTAAAAAGCTAATCTCCATCCCGGAATCTGTTTCCCAGGGAGCCTAGACCATGGCATCTCCTGAGTCTGTTTAGCTCTTAAAATGGAGCTGGGGGTGGGCCTTAGGGGAGGGGCTGAGAAAGTCCTCTGTCCCCTCTCCAGAGGACACCACTCAAGGTCAACAGAGGCCAAGGGCCTAGACTTCAGCCTTCTAGTGAATGTGCTCCTCTGCTCTGCACTCTGGGGACACAGAGCTTTGGGAGGAGGCAGATAACCCTTGGTCCACTCTCTTCCAAGTAGCGGGTCTCACCTCTTTGGAGGACAGAGCACCTGAAGCCCCGCTGCTCTCTGGGGAAGGCACTGAGAACTCATTCATCGGGTCTAGATGATCAAATGCAGGACTGGCCTGAAATCTGCTGTCTTTTACAAGCTTCCCCAAATAAACAAGTTGTTATCAGTTGTCCAAACTCAAGAGCATTTTTAAGGAGAAAACCTTTGAACTGTCCAAGACCTTATTTTTTTTTTCCCTGCAAAATGGGTGTGGGGTGGGGAGCCACCCACAACTCAATTTTTATCACAGAGCCCCCTGAAGCAGCCCGTGGAAATGGGGAGCAGAATCTGGGGACGGCTGCCGTGGAGGGGCTCTCCTGGCCTGCCAGCTGGGCTTGGGGAGGTCAGGACCGTGGAGACAGAGCTTTCAAAGTTGTTCCAGGAGAGGGCACACAGCTGACCTGGTGCCCTGACCCTGGAAGGGGTACCAGGCAAGGCTTCCTGGGTTCACAAGCAAACCTGGACCCCTCTGGGTGGTGGGTGAGAAGCATCTCCTATGCACACTGCCTGGCAAGGATTGCTGGCCACCTGGACCTCCCTCTGACCTGAGAGTGGGCTGACCATTCCAAGGTGCTTTACAAGATCAAACTCCTTCAAGTCTCCCAACTAGTGGATGCACTTTACGGAAGAGGCAATCGAGCTTTCTAGATATGAAGCATTTTGCCAATATCCCAGAGCTGGTGAGCGAAGCGGGTGGGGATTCACATCCAGCTTCTAATTCTGGGGCGTGAGCCACCAGTGTGACATTATGCAGCTTTCTAACAGCCTCTGATTGAGACAAGTGGGAAATTAAGGCAGTCAGGGTGCACAGAAACACCCCAAGAGCCAGCTGGGACTGGGACATGGTGCAGACATTCTTGAAGATGGTTTGGGGGCATCACACAATCCTATCTGCAGCTACGTGCCCATGCTACACAGAGCCTACAGCTCTCAGATCCAGACTCAAGTCACTTTGCAGGACGCCAAGGCCACGGGCTCTTATAGGCAAACCAAGGAGAGCCAGAGATGGCTACCTCCCTCCATGAACCAGGGGTGAGATCACAGGCATGATACCGATGCTGGCTGTGTCCCTCTAACACCAAACCTGATGTTGGCCACCTCTTCCCCCTTTGCTGTGTGGTGTACTCATGGAATGCAAGCCCTTCTCGTTGTGGTTTAAGCCCCAAAGTAGGCTGACCTGCTGGACAGAAGTGCTAACCATCAAGGTCAAACTTAAAGGGTCAGCGCTTAGCAAGGCCACTCAGGAGGATGATCGACCAGGAGGGTTGGAATTGGCCTGATAAGGATTCAGGGCCCCCCTGCTTTTAGACAATGAGATCCTTAAACCCCATGGCTGCCTGTCCCTCTCCTGGAAGTCCCCATCTCCTGGGGACTCCAGGATGACTCAGGTGGTGGTGATGGGCTGTACTGTGCTCCAGCACGGGAAGAAGGGTGGGGCGCCCTGACCAGCTTTGACTCAGTGAGCATCTGCTACCCTGAATGGCAGTCTGACCCCGATGGTGGAGACGTTCGATCCTTGAGTCTGTCTTTGGTCCACCCGAAAACTATCTCCTTTTGACTCAGCTGACTTCCTCTAGTTTGTGTCCCGGGGAGCAACGAGGCAGCCACCCTTTCCCTGTGTGTAAATCTTTCATGAGTTTCGCAGTGTGGATGTTCTTTCCTCTTCCCTGGCCCCAGCCTTCCAGCTCTCCTCCAGGACATACTTTCCGTCCCTTTAATCATCTTTATTGCCTCGCTCTGGATGCTGGCCCAGCCCACATCCTCTGCGAGGTGAGCTGACCTACCCCGGGCACTGGCTACTATGAGCACAGCTCAGCTCCCCAGTCCTGGTGTGTCGTGCATGTTGCTCTTCCTACATTCCTGGGTCATGCTGCTGCTTTCCGGAGGCCTGCCCCGGTCCAGGGGACTCCTGTGGAGCAAGGCGACCTGGCCCAGAAAGGGACATGTGGGCTGACCTGGATGCGACTGCCTGGGCCAGGAGAAGCCATTTAATTCGTAAGCTTGGGGACTCTCCATGCCTTTGAGACACACATTCTGTTCCCCCTGGCATGCCCAAGCCCTTGGGAACCCCATTCTTCCTTTAGGGGTACTCTCTGTTTTTTAACTCTGCTGGGAACCCAGAAGCCAGGACGTGGCCTGTGCGGCTCTGCCCAGCAGAGGCAGCTCACACAATGCAATTAGCTGTACTCTGGCCACAGCAGGGGCCGGGCTCGGTCCAACTCTCCCGGCTCAAGTTTCCCTTTTGATGCCTGGTGGTTCCACATAAAGTGCCTGGTGGTTCCGACTTGTAAGCCAGGGCGGCCTGCCTCCCAGCTAGTTGGACATTTACTGTCTTCTGTGAATGTTTTCAAACTCACTAAATCTGCTATTGGAGGACAAGCCCTCTGGGTACTGTGTCCTCCTCCCACCCTGAGAGTTGTGGCCACCACCTCATACCCCGTGATCAGGGCCTGCAGGCCGAGGGGAGGGTTGGAGATGCTGGTCAGCCACAGCCCTCCATCTCCAGGAGGTGGCCACGCAGCACGAGGGCAGGCACTCCTCATTTTCTGATCAGGGGATGTCAGCTGGCTATTCCTCATCTCTCCGAGAACATTCTCTGTTCACGAAAGGTAGATCACAAGACATCACCTTCATGTAAGAATAAATCCCCTATAGGGAACACATCATTTGAATTCCTCAGGCATACGCCTTTTTGTTCTTTCTTTTTTTGGATTTCCATCCAGAAATAATTCATGCACATTCAAGCAAAAAATATACTCCGACTCCCCCTTTTGCACAAATGGCCACACACAATAAATACTGTTCTGCACCTGGAATTTTTTCTTTTTTTTCACTTAAACTATAGCATGAAGACTTTTCCCAGTAAGAAAGCCTTGTAGCAAACAAACGCTTGCATTCCCCAGACGGCCAATCTCCGTTGCTTGTTCTTACCCAAACCACCTCATCAGTCCTTTCCTGTTCCCCGACGGTCACCCAGGATTCTGAGCGCCACGGGAGAGCCTGGCTCACTGCTCACTGGCTCACTGTTTGGGAGCAGCAGCACTGTCTATTGCTGATCTGTGTTGCCTGTGACAGCAAGCCGGCAATACCAGGGACAACTCCCCATGTCAGGGAGAAGGAAAAACAGATATCCTTGGACTTGTGAGCTCCGGGAGCCTCCTGGAGGCCATCTCTCAAAACACGCAGCCAGCAGGTTTGTGCTTTGCCGGACTCCTATAGGGGTCCTGTCTCTGGGCCACCGGTGCCGCGTGGGAATCTCCAACTGGCAACCAAGCGCACCGTGCCGCCAACCTACCAGCTTCATCTCAGAGGTGTCAATCGATGAGAGCAAAAGCACAACACGGACCAGGGCTGAAGAAGGAAGGCACAGCCACCCACATAGGAAAAGAAGACCCAGTGCTCACTGCGGTCTCTCCTACCTTCGATCGTTTCTCCTCCTCCGGAACAGCTTCTTGGTGTGTGCGATCTCCACTTCATGGGGCATCGGGTGGTAGCCCTGTGACACGGGGAGAGAGGGATTGTGAATAACTTCTGTAGGAGAAGAACTGACTATACAAGTTTCCAGGACAGGAGGGCAGGAGCAGCTGACTGTGACCACCAAATCCGTCAGAGAATGGAAAACGCTAGAATTTGATGAATTCCCCACCAGGTGAGGAGGCTAGAACTGCAGAGTCAAGGAACAGCGGGGACCAAGGGAACCTTAGAATTCATCCTATCCAAACCCACAAACGCAGGCAAGGATGCCGGGTCCAGAGTGCTGAGGGAGCTGTTCAGTCTTGCAGAGAGCGGGCCGGGCCGTGGAGCCAGGGTTGCGGCCACCCACAGCCCTTCCTTGGTTGGGAACTGAGCACTGGAAGGCAGGCCGGTGGGACCCTCCTGGTGGCGCCCCAATCCAGAGGTCTGTTTTTGTGTCCCCTTAGACCAGGGAAGCTGTCACTGGCTGTAGGGTGGGACAAGATCCTTCTCCAATCTCCCAATTTCTAACAAAATGGAAATGATACTTCTTTCTACTTGGGACTGCTGAGAGGACCAGGAGCTAAAGTCTGTTCACCCTGAGCTTCAAGCAGGGGAAGAGCATCTCCTAATCCTAGGCCAGACTGCCCTGTGCGATTTTACCCCAAATCCTCTCCTGATATGGCCTGGGAAATATTTAGAGAAAACATGCAAATAGTAAAATGCTTTTTTAAACTTTGAAGGAGGGACTGGGGAAGATTCTAGGGATTTTTTTTTTTTTTTTTTTTTTTTTTTTTTTGTAAAATGCCCTCATGCCAACTATTTACACTGACATCAAGGTTGGGAAGATCGACTTATAATGCAGGGTTGATTCTGCCAAATACCAGGCCTGGGCAGAAGTACTTGCAAAATCTGGGATGATGGCCAGTTCTGTTCTCACCACCTTCCTGCCACCTCCACCTGCAATGGGAAATGTGCCCCAGCAGGGACATGACAGCACCACCACCCCACTGTGAGCATCCCAGGACGGATCAGGGATACCTGGCCTGGGGGTCTTGGAGGGCCGTCTGACGTGGGCAGGGGAGACCTGAGAACAGGCCCTGACGTGGAATCTATCACTTGGGCACACACAGCAATGGAAAGCCAGAGGCCGGTCTGCTGGAGGGTGGTCAGTGGGTATCCCTTTGACCCCAACTCTCACTTTTCAGGCAGGGAGACCAAAGCCCAGGGAGAGGTCGTGCGGAGAATGAGAGATGGCAGTTCTGTGGCTGCAGCCCTGACCCCCTGGGGAGCACACAGACCTCTGGATTGGGGCTCTGTGGAGAAGGTCCCACTAGTCTGTCTTCACAGGGCTCAGCCCCCACCAAGGCGAGAGATGGGGGGCACTGGCAGCCCTGACTGTGTTGGGACTGGCCAGTCTAGGAGAGCTCTCCAGGAGGGTAATGGGAGACAACTGGTCAGGGACTGTGGACACAGGGACTGTGGCATTACGGCCACTTGGCTCAGTCACCTACTGAGACCAGGGAGGGAAAGACGTTTCAAACTATATTTCAGTGACGGCCCTTCCCGACCCAGCCTCTGTCTCTTGCCTCCAACAATCTAGCCAGAAAGGCATGAATGAATTCCCAACTCAAGGCTGCCACAATAGGGCTCTGGGGACTTAGGATGTGCTTTGTTTAATGGTTTTCTCAAAGGATATTGTTTGTTTTCTTTAATACAAAATACAAACAAGGAAAAACACCAAATCTTCCCCTCTCACTTCCCCTCTCCCACCCTGAGCAAGCTCCAGCAGGACCCTTCCCTCCCTCCCTCCCTCCTTCCCTCCCAGCCTCTCCAGGTCACTTCAGGAACACACCAGGGTGTGCCCCAAGTAGACAATGGACAGGAAGCCGAGGCTCCCTCCCGAGCTGGCGGCAGACTGAGATCTCAGCTCTGAGGCTGGACAGACGGAGCTGCCCTCAGCACTTGGCATAATAGGGGCCAGGAGGTGCCAGCCTCCTCAGCAGGGCCTCAGAGTCCTGGGCTCTGACCCACATCCTGGCTCCGCCCCCCACGCCGAGGGCAGCCATGGGGAGCTGGACACACCGCAGCATGGATCCTAACTCTTCCCCAGGACTCAGGGGAGATCATCCAGGCAGGATGAGAAGCGCCCCTCACTCCCTTAATCTCAAGGAAACAGCTGCCCTAAAACGTGACCAGTAAGACAGGGCCGGCCAGAGTGGCCTGTCCTAGACAAGGGCACCAACGACAGGAATAGGAATGGGAAAGGAGCTCCTGATGGCCTGGCCAGGGACAGTGGGGTTCTGGCTTTAGACCAGAGATCCCCCCCAGCTTCCCTACCTGCACACATTCTCCTCGGGCCCTGAGACCTGACTGCAGATCCTCTGTCTGACCTCTGACTTCTTTCTATAACCAAGTGGGCCTGGGAGATAAGCAGGTTACATGAACGTGAAGAGGAGGCTCTTTCCTCATGCCCTATTGGTGCAGCACTCATGAAACACATGCACATGCGTGTGTGCACATGCGCACACACACATACTTCCACACCACAGGGCAGTGCAGGCAGCGCCGAAGGGCAACACGTTACTGAACAGGTTGCAAAACATGTTATGTAAAATCGGCCTGTTCTGGGGCAGGCTGAGGCTGCAATCTCACAACCTGGCGCAGTGGGTATTTCCGAGGGATTAAGGGCAGGCCCAGCAGAGCTCTGGCTGCAGAGCTTCATCCCCAGATGGTTAATGATCCCAGGCTGGGACAGCTAGGGTCTTTCCCTGAGGTGACAACTATAGAGAACAAAACTTGGGTCTACAGGTGTGGGCGGGGAGAGAACAGGGGAGGCAGACGCACCTAGCAGAGAGCAGGAGTGATGCTGGTGGCTGCCACCATCATGGGAGTGTCAAACCTCCGCAGGCCACAGACTTCCACCCACCACCCACCTACGGCACCTGTCCATCCATCCTGAGAGGCACGACCTCTCCATTCATCTCCCCACTCCATAAATACTGTGCACCTGGTACTGGGGGAAATGGGTAGTGTTGGTTCTCACACAGCACAGATGCTGGGGAGAGACAGAGGTGAGACACCAGGTTTTCCACGGAGCAAACCCAGGCAGGGCAGGGGGATGGAAGAAGTAGGGGTGGGGTGGGGTGGGCGGTCAGGAAGCCCTCCCTGTCTGGCCACCTATCCACCCACCCAGCCCAGCACTCTTGGTTGTTCTTCCCTCACTGAACTCTGGGGGCCGACTGTGTGCTTGTGGGCCAGATGGAGAAGACCAGGATGAGTAAGACCCAGTCCTAGTTCTGAGGGACTCCAGGGATCACAGGCGCTGAAGCCTGCCATGCTTACAGATGAGGCTGCAGAGCCCAGAGGAAGGGCCCGGGGCTTCTCTCTAGGGGAAGGTCGGGGAAGATGTCATCAAGGGTGTGACACCTGAGCTGAGCCCTAAGGCAGGCCACACGGGCTCCAGATGCTGCAAGTTGAAAACCCGCTGCAGTCACGGCCACGTGTGGGGGGTGCCTGGCCCTGCCCGAGAGGGGAGGCACCTGGCACCCCAGGGGCTAGGGCTGGGACTCCTCTCCGCTGCGCCTGGCTTGGGGCCTTATACATCGTCCTCTTCACCCCGGGCACTAGGTAGAATTGTGTCCCCAGGAGATTTATTGGAGTCCTAATCCTGGGTACCTGAAAGTGTGACCTTATTTGGGAATCGGGTCTTTGCAGAGGGAATCAAGTTGAGAGGAGGGATTAAGTTGGGCCCAACATCCAGTAACTTTACAGAAGAAGGAAATCTGGACACAGAGAGTCACAGCCGCAGAGGGAGAAGGCCAAGGGAGACGGAGACACAGACTGCAGCGCTGCAGCTGCCGGCCAAGGGGCACCGAGGATGCTGGAGCCAAGGGACCGTGGGAGGAAGCAGTGTCCCGGGAGCTGCTGATACCTGGATGGGTGGCTCCAGCCTCAGAACCGTGAGACCACAGCCGCCCCCCCACCCCCATGGCTTTAAGCCACCGGATTTGTGGTCACTTGCTCTGACAGCCCTAGGAAGCTCATGTGCCCCCTGCCCTCCCGTCCACAGCCTAGACTGCAATCCCCAGCATAGGTCCCTGGCCCTGGGTCTTCCCGAAGCCTCCCCCACCTCCATCTGCTCCCTCAACATCCCCAGCTGACTCCTCCTGGGTGGTCCTGCGGGACCCTGTGTGGCACATGGAGTTGCCCCAAGTCAGACAGTCCTCAGTGAGCAGGAGCGGCCAGCCCCACCCATGCACTACTGCAGGACCCGAGGTGGGTGCCAGGCTCCCAGGGACTTGCAGTCTGATGGGGAGTCTTTTGGCCCCCCATCAAGTCAACAGCTTACCCGGCTGCCCAGGTCTCTAGCCTCACAGTGCTTCTAAGAAGAAGGTCCGGAGCCTCTAGAGAGTAGGCGGGATCAAAATGGACCCCTCTGTGGAGGGATGCTGCTGACCCAGCCCCACGCTTCAGCACCCAGCTCCAGAAGGCTTCCTGGCACATAGTAGGTGAGAACTAAATATTTGTTGGATAAAAAGAAAGGAAAATGGGGAAGAAGGAAACAAGAGCCTCATTTTGGTCCAAGCTGCTCTGCTGAACCAGGGCTCTGATGAGGCATCAGCAGGTGTGGTGCTGCCTGGCGGTGGCAGCCACAGAGGGAGCTCCTGGGTCTCAGCTGGGGCCCCTCCAAGGCATACTCCAAGGCGGGGCCTTGAGGGCTTAACTTTCCCTGGTGGGGCCGAGTCTTGTCAGTGAGTTGGTGGGGTGGGGCCTGTGGACCCTAGCCTCCTCCTCTAGCTAGAGAAATGCTAGAAAGAAAGGCCACCAAGTCACTCCACCCTCCATTCCATGAGTGGGTGATGGGCAGGGTGTCCTGGATGCGGCTGTGCCTGATTTCCTCTCCTTCTGTCCCCATGGGGCTTTGAAGTGTCCCACAGAGCTGGAGTCCATGGTCTGCTGCTTCACGAAACCTAATGTCCACTTGAGTTTCAAGGAAGATTTCCCTGGTATTCCCATGATCTTTGACCTCTGGCCACTGAC